AGAGAGAGGGAGAAAAATTCGATAAACTCGACGAGCGAATAGATAAAAAGAAGCGACGTCGCGCCCTCGAGTGTCTGCTTTGCGACGAGATAAAGCGCGGTTTATGCGCGACGATAACGGATCGCCGATGAGGGAAAGAGGGACAGAAAGAGATTGGAGTCCTCCGTCCGAGTGAGGGATGCGATGAATTTTTGAAGAATTCTGTCAATAGCAGTCGCTCTCTCGCGAGTATGAATGGCGGGAGGGGCGGCGGTTCGCGGCAGAAACCCGGCAATCTACAATGACGAATTCCTTTCAATATTTCATAAGGTCTATAGACTCGAGTCACTGTTCTCATCCCGACGGCATCGATCGCCAGTCTGCCACTACTAAGTGGAATATCTTTGATAAATCAAGCAAGTCATAGTCGAAGTTTTCACACTCGGCTTGTCGCCGACGAGAAAGACCTTCTACGGCGAGGTAGAACGGCAATGTAATTAACAATTTCTAATTATGTTTAAATTAAAATTTATTAATGGGAAATATTCGGGCACATAGTTTCAAGCGTAACATCGGCATCTTTACTCTAATATTGTGAGCAGCTGGTACGATGATAGTTTACGAGAGAGAGAGAGAGAGAGAGAGAGAGAGAGAGAGAAACATAATATGAAGTTCAGTATCAAGTGCATATCACGTTACCAGTCATCCGATCTTTCTCGTGCCGGGAAATCAAACTCCTCCGATTAGAGCGATTGCGATCATTTGATTCGTCTTATCGAACGACTTGTGGGAAAGAAGCGTGAGAGGAGAAAGCGAGATAAATCGCCTTGTTCGAAACGTCACTCGTTCAATCGTTTCGGAAAATTGTATCGCGAGTCAGTATTGCGCGGACGCAAGTCTATCGTAATTTCGGTCGTATCAAGTGTACTTTGTGTTACTCAAACGTGATAAATTCCGAGTAAACGTCTCATTAGAGCACACGCCCCGTCCGGATTGATCCTATCTTTAAAAAAGGCCATAGGAGGTGGCCGTCTCTTAAAATACATTTGGGACGCGCGCGCGTAATCGCGATTGCCGCACTCTCGGCGAGGCGTTTGTTCGCGCGAGAGTCGCACGAGATGACGAGGGGGAAGTTTTCTGCAAATGTTACGAGAAGACTCTCTCCGTGCGTTGTGCGCGCGCGCGTGGTGCGGGAATGCCCACAGCTGTTCCTATAAATAACAACCCCCGATTTGATGCAACCACGCGAGTGCTCGCGGCGGCAATTCTGCATCTTCTCTCGCGAAAGCGCGGCAACTATGGTTATTGACCCCCGTGCAACGTGCGCGCGGCCCGGCACTATTTCCGTTCGCGAAATAATGGGCCCGAACATCGTAACGTGTGATTTTAACGCGCGCAGGATAGACCGAGGAGTCCTCGTGTTGGTCGGCGTATCGGCACTAGACTCCTCGACGGAAATTATTTATTCAATATTACTCGTGTAAATAACTGAAGAACGTTGATTTTCATATATTATAGTTCTTTGGAACGCTATTCGAAATTTCTTATTTAAAAAATTTCATTTTCTTTAGTAAAAAGCGTGCAGAATCTCATTTCGATAAATTTTTAAAATAATTATGTATTGATGAAAAAATTGGTAATCTCTAAACTAGATTGGAGATAAACGCTTGACATTCGGAAATCCAACGATGAGAGAATAAAATAATACGATTTCGCTGTATAATGTCGCGCCTAGTTAATGAAAATTACGCGAATGGCGGAATAAGAGCAACGTGCGTTTGCATTAAAACGATGTATTACGATTGAAGATTTGATTATTGCACACGGCACGGGTAATTACGTTCTGCCGGACGCACGGCTTTATTCGCGGCGAGAGCAAAATGCAATAAAATATATTACACAATGTGAAGCGGGGGATTTATCCGCGGATTACATTATCCATCACGGTCGAAAGATTAAATCTCCATAAATTATTCGTTGTACCAACGATATTCATTAACGGCGCGGTTCAAATAGCCGCGAAGTGTTACAGCAGTAATGTGCGGTAAGCGTTACCGCATGCGTACTCTGTCTATATCTCGATATACATTTTTAACATAAAATTATATTATCGCGACAATTTCTGTAAGGACTTTTCAATCGAAATTATCGAACCGCATTGCGGTTAAATAACGAAGGAAGTAATTTTTCTTACATTCGCGTCCCGCCAGAAAAAAAGAATAAAACTTAATTTCTTACGTTCGCGGCGCTGCCCCACTTGTTAGCAGCCAATATCAAAGATTTATAGTTTCAGATCGATCGATCGCGCGACAGCAATTTTCTACGTATATACTGCAATAGCGTATGCCGTAATAACGTTTTTATTGGTATAGGAGATCGCTCGGAACCACTCCGCGCCTTACCGAGGCTTCGTCGGGGATTGAGTGCCAGGGCTCTTGTGGATTTTCTACTTGATTTACAGAGCGGCGAGGCGTACGCGCTGGCGAGAAAAGGAGAGAGAGAAAGAGAGCGGAAGAGAGAAAGAGAGCGAGAGAGAGAGCAATCGATGATGTCACGCACTTGCGGTTGATAGCCGCAATCTCTCTGCGAGGTGCGCCGGCACGATCGACATCCGAGATTCGGACTTCGTCGCGGCCGGGGCCTCGCGTTGCATCGCGTTTTATAGCGCGTTTTACTGCGTGTGCTGTGGCTGACCAGTGGACTCTCTCTCTTTCTCTTTCTCTACACGTCGCCGATCCTCCTCGCTCCTCTGGTCTCTCCTCTCTTTTCTCTGTAAAGGAGGCACGACCAGCGGAGCAGGGTCATGGCCGGACATCGTCTGCCGTACTCTCCCTCTCTCTCTCTTTTGCTCGATGCTCTACACCCACACTACATCTGTTTTACCCGCGTATACGATCCATTCTCCTTCTTCTCGCTGCACTCTCGTTTGGATTTTACTGTGCGCCGAATATGAGCCGTCGCGATCTCGCGAGAAACGTCCTGCGCTCCGTCTCGCCACGATCGAATAGATTTGAAGATTTTTTTTTTTTAAACGAAAATTACGAGGCCAAGAACGTTACTGCGCAATTTACACACGACGTGTGTCAGAGCTTATCTATTTTCTAGCGACTGTCACGCTACTAGGAGGCGTCTTACCAGTTCGAAATAACAGAACTTCAAAGAGGAATAAATTAAATTTATATCAATAAAATGTACAAAATATCTTTGATATTGAATTATTTGAAATTGAATTGTAACTTCAATTACTTCACAGTCAGATATACTTCACGGATAAAATATGAGTTTTACGAATTTCGGTTGTCTTTATTTCAAAAGAGCGCATTTTAAATGTCAAATTAATAAAGATAAAAAAACTGTAGAAATAATACTTGCCATTTCACTCAACTTGATGTAACATTTGCCAAAAAGTGATCACGGGATAGTGCTGTGTATATATTGCGGAGAATGCTCGAAGTGGTTTTGCGGTTTTTGTCTATCACCTTTTGACGTCAAAGGCGCACGCGCCTGAGGCATTGCGCGAAAATGAGAATCAAGGTGTCCAGCTCTCGCTACTTGGGAATGGACCAAACGAAATGTTCCGACGGTGATTCACGGCGGGACAATGACCCCGATCAATGATATCATTTTTGTCAATATGGTGCAATACCTACGGAAAATTAAAAGTTCCACGGTATCTCCGAAATAAGATGCTTTAAAAAAATACGGCTCGTATTCTTACCAAGTAATTGCAAATATAATTTAACATAGACGAATATTAATTTCAATTTTTATTTGTCTAATAAGAAAAACGTGCACAGCATATGTATCAGTTGCTTTCAAATGACACTTTTGTTAATTTTACAAGGAGAGTGCAACTTAATATCTCCGCGACGTAAGTGACGTATATACTTTTCTCTCGAAGTGATCCGTATGAATTATTTACGACGCGTAAGAAATTAATCATTCTGGGTGCAAGAATTAAAATGTCACGCGCGGATCCCTCGCGTCTTTCTTGCGTTACTCCGAATTGTTCCCCGCCGCAACCACGTGTTGCACTACAGAATTCTAGCCGAGATGCTATCGACCTTACTACGCTCTCAACCGTCAGTGAGTTAGCTTTAGTGATTGATAGTTTGAAGGTTCTAGGTAGCATTAACAACACATGCACGACAGCGAAACTAACGCTTTGGTTATTCGTAAAATTGTAGTGATCTGTGAATAAATCAAGGACTTTTTATTTTATTTTGAAAAAATCAACATTTATTTAAACAAAATCTTAATTATAATTTTTGATTTTTTAAAAATTTTGGTATTTATTTGGATAATAATCTTAGTTATAATCTCTTATAATATTAACACTATTAATAATATTTAAAATGACAGACTTTTTTCTCATATGCTCACTTGTTATTTTCTAATATATTAATGTCTAAACAATCTAAAGAAAGTATGGCACATGCTGTGCTTTATTTCCAATAGTATCACGCTTTATTCACAATTAACACGCAAATAGAGGTAGCAAAGTTTTCTATCTATATCTCATGGTATAATCGCTCTCGTAAATGTCAATGTAAGTAATTTCTCTTTCCTATCTTATTCTAATGATAATTACTCTTAATCAGTTCTTTCCTATCATTACTTTTAAAATAATTGATAAAAAAATTATACTCCTCCAACTAAATCATAACGATAAATTCTGGCCTATACATCAATACGCTCTTCGGGAGAAACAAATCGCTCTAAGTGTACTCTCGCGCCGAGAATATCAATTTTTTTTTCCAATCTTTTGTCTTCAATTGCGATAATATCGTTTAATTTCCACTCATCAAGCGTTATCTTTTCTATACGTGGAATCACCTATCTCTTCCAATGATTTCATTATCTCGGAGGTGCGAGACCGAAAACATAAATTTATACGCACGTGACGCTACGACCTGTCAATTATTCCTCTCTATCTTTATAGTGGGCTTTTTCCGAAAGAAGACGTTTCAGAGAGTGCTTGCACTGACGGCGTATATACTTAAAAAGTGAGCACAACTCACGATTTCGCGACGGATGATGGGCGTTCCTGCTTCGGAGGGCATTCTGCAGGGTCATATACAGGTGCATTATCAGTTGCTCATCCGTCGTCGTCGTGCCCTCGTCGCTGGTGGGCGGTAAAAACGGTATCGCCATGATGCTCCTCTCTCGTTTTACTCTTCGATCGAGGCAATTTGTAGCTCGAGAGTCCAATTGGAGCCTACGTGCTCGTCACCGCACCCACCTTGTCCGGGATCGACTCGCACTGCAACCGAACCAAACAATGTCTGTTTTTGAGTTCACTGGTCACTTTCCCGAAAACCCCCCCTCTCGCCCCTCCCCCCCTCGTCGTTTCCCGCAGTTTCTATCTGATCTCCGTGCCGTAAGAATCGTAAACGCGTTAGAAAACGCCGCACGTGATCGGCAAGAGTTCACCGGCGCACGCTTTCGTTCATCTCTCGGATCGCACGTGACGCGCGCGCGCGCACGCAGATCCCCCGTAAAGGATGCTATTGTCTCTTCATACGTTTCTCGAATTTCTCAGAATCACCAGACTTTTCTTGAAGTCCGATGAAACTGTCCTTGCGTCGGTCACGCTCTCGAGACGAAGAAAAAGAAAAGGGGGAGGAGGGGAGGGGGAAAAAAAAGAAAGATCACTTTCGCAGTAAGGAAATCACCTGCTGAGAATCACGAAGATAAGAAATTGTCCCTTGTCACGGTTGTTGTTGACCGGGCTGCTCGAATGCACTGTATGGAGCACGTCGGATTCGCCGTTGACTCCTCGAGAGATGGAGAGACAAAAAATTCTGGAGCACAAACGCGTGATCGCTCTCGCAGTTGTCCAGCTGGCGATCGCACCAATTGATGGTTCACCTCACTCGTAACACATACGGGGGGAGAGTCGACCGTAACATCGGGTCACCCTCGGAGCTCCTCCGCGGACCAGAGATCAGCTCGATAGTTCCACAAGCAACAAACAACACCCGCCACGCGAACTTGTCCTCTTTGGCGCGATATATCACACGCGTGTATCTCTGATGAGCGGCGCGCGTAAAACAGGCAGCGACCGAAAAAGAAAATAAGCAGCGAGAAGACGAGAATTACGGAGCGACACGAGATCTCTCGACTGAGCTCAGGGTAAACGGAGAAACACGTCTGTTCTACTCGAGGTCTGGCGTGGTAATGATTCTGTGCTTTCGCAGCCACTCGGTCCGCACGTTCTGCCTCGCGGTGGCAACCGGCTCCGCTTCCCTCACTCCGCTTTCCCGCGCGACCGATTGGTCGAACGGTGGGGGTGCGTGCGCGCGCAGCCTATGGAAATAAACTGGTGGTGAGGGTAGCCGATTTACTTTGGGGTGGGGAACGCGCGAGAAGCGTGACAATACATTGTCTTGCTCTTCGGGACGCAGCGAGTGAGCTCCGTTTGAACGCTAACATTTACTGCAATCATGTTTTTGCAATCGTCAGACACCACGGTGTATCCAGTATCCGCGTAGCGTATACGAGGAATACTCTAATATGCTAAGATATTGCATCTTTAATTATAAAGAAAAAATTAAATATATTTAAAAAAGTAAATATTAATTTACGCTATTAATTAAAAGAGATATATATGATTAATAATATTATTAGCATATAACTATGCAAAAACAGAAAATCAGATAAAGACAGATTTTTTTCTTTTGTTCTACCTCTTTTTATTTTAATTTTAGATGTCAGAAATTGTCCAGCATGAATCTTTTTTATAAAATATTATAAAATACTTTGTACAATTTTTTCTTTATGACGTTCGCTCTCTCGAACATTTCATGCTTTTTTTTTTGCTTTGATTTCCCTATGGCTTTTCGTGCAGTAGACGTTGATACGAGGGCGACTCGGCGTCCGCGCTTGGAAGACGCAAAGTGCAACTCAGTGGCGCGCGCGACGCGGTCTCGGGACACAGCGGAGCGTGTAGCATGTAGCAATGGGATCTCGACGAGGGAGAGAGTGAGAGGCCACGCACACACGGGCGTACCGACGCTCGCGTGTATCTCGGAGCCGTAAAGGCGCGTATGACACGACAAAACGACACTCGAGCGCAACTGCGCAGTTTACGCGGCCGAGTACGAGCACCGTACTCGGGGGGGGGGGTGGGGGTGCGGCCACGAATCGGAAACATTTACTTTACCACCGTTAAAATTAAACTCCCGGGAAAGCTGAAAAAGTTAAACGTTACTTTCATGCGCGTATATATCTTCGTTTCTCGTTTTAATTTCAGTTGTTCAATTTTACCGATTTTTCGATTTTTTTTTTTTTTTTGTATTAACGGGATTCCTCGATATAGCGTAATATTTCGCGTTCAACGCGAAATATTACGCTACTGGTCTTGATTCGTGCAGCGGCGGAAATATTTTTTGCACATAGATTTTTTTCTTGATATTAACGATAAATATTCGCCGATATATCATCATCGATATCGTTGGCTTTCCCTGCGATTTACAAGCGATAATAACAGACGCTCGAGCGATAATGAATATCGGTCTGCAGTGTCAAAGATCAATTTTAATCGCTCGAATGACTACACGCCGAGTTAATGAGCTCGGACGTACTTATAATTAATTAGGAGCGGATGGGCGAATCGAAAGAACACGAGACAACTTGCTCACGCTTAATTCCCCGATAATTTGCGACAAAACGCGAACGATATTCGCGGCATCGTCACGGTTGAGTCCTTATTTTGCGCGGTCGATGAATGGACGAGAAAACGGAGAAACAAGAATACAATACGCTGCCATTGCGCGCGCTGATTCATGATGCATACGATGCACCGTGCGCCGGCTACACGAGAGCGCGACTACATAAATAAATATGAGCATATTGGCTTGCGCGAGGGCATGCGCGACGCGCGTGAAAATCGGAATCGTATACATTCAACGTGGATCAAGGAAAATGTCAGTGTATTATCATAATAATGTTACTTTTCTTTTTGTCGTACGAATAAAATTCGCGCAAATTTTAATCGCGCATTCTGCATGCAATAAAATCCAATTCGAAAATATTTAACACGGTCGAGAATCACGTGTCGCGGAAATGTGTCGCGCACGTGCTTTCTTTCATTTCACCTTTGTAGATCTAATTTTAACACTCGAAGCACTGGAAACGCAGTTTCATTCGAGAACGAGATTCGCGTTCGATCAATCGACGTAAAAAAAAAGAAACGGAATGCACTTCACTTTTACTCTACGAATTTTCATTCATTGATGCATAACGCAACGTCGGTACACGAGCGCGTTAAACAATCTCGAAAGCGTGAACATGAGCGCCACTCGAATCGATAGACAATCGACGTGACGTCTCTTTGGCGTACGCACTGCGGAGAGAGAGAGAAAGAGAGAGAGAGAGAGAGAGAGAGAGAGAGAGAGAGAGAAAGTGAAAGATAAAGAGAGAACGGGAGAGAACAGCAGATTAATGTCAGGAGTGGAGAGACACTGTCATTGGATATCGGATGTGGGAGTTAAAGGCCAGGTGAATCTCTCGGCGCGTCGGGGGATGACGTTACAGAGAGATGACATTACCACTGTAGAACGTGTGGAAACTGGAGTCGGTGCGCGCGCGCATGTATGTGCGTGTGTGTGTCGAAATGTGCGCGTCCGTGGTTCGACGGAATGGCCATGTCGTTCGTTATCGAATGGACGCTTATATCGGCTGCGATGCGTGAGATACAGCCGCGCGGTCATCGCCGCCGATAATTTTCGCGCGCGAAAATTTCAGCGGCGACGACGCTGAAATTCTCAGCGGGAGAGCCTTGGAACCTTGGGATTCTCTCGCGGTGGATCGATACGCGAACTTCATCGCGCGTCTTGCAGGAACTGCTCGTTATGAGAGACGCCACTTCTACGAAGCCAATTGTCTCAATGTACGTAAAAGTCAAAGAGACGACTTCAGGGAGGGACCGAGTTGATTGCGCCGTCATTGTACGAGTAGTCGATTCGCTTAACGAAGTTAAACTTAGTTGCGAGAACTTCGAAGGCTATTTTAATGCCTATTAGTTTTTACGTATTAGAAGTTTTACTGACACTGGAAGATAAGGCTAAAACTCGATAATATTACACAATGTGTGTAATATTGAGGATTTTAAGTGTTGACAGATAAGATTAAATTATCATATTTTAACAAGTATCACATCTTAATTAATTATACTTATTATTTTATGCATCTGTTTTATTATAAATAGATATTTCTGAAAGAATATTGCAGTATGCAAAGAGTAAAGATATTATTTGATATAAGTATTATAAATTATATTACAAATCAAACGTAGAATTTAAAATCGTTTGTTCTTAAAATTAATTTTTATTTTCTGTAAAATACATTGTGACAAGATGCGTCTTATCAAGTTTTTAATAATCGTTCTTAATCGCATATATAAACAAAATCATTTTTCGTGAAGTAATACAGATACAATCGTAATAGTCGTAGTGAAATTCTGATTAACTTTTTACATAGAAAAATATATTTAATAACAATAAGTACTTTTCATATTCTCCATATTCTTATTAATATAATTTTCTTATCGATCAAATTCATTTATAAAAATTCTATCGTCGGGCCTTAAACCTATATCGTATTATACTCATCTGATGTGGACTTGACTTTCAAGATGACAACCCTATAAATATCCGAGCGTTGCAATTTTCCGTCATCGTGAAAAAAAATCGTAATCGTACCTTGCCAAATCTGTTAGACGCGAATGCAAATGGTCGACTTAATAACTGCCTTCGAGCACCTCGTGATCGGAGTCACTGTCGCAGGCACTGATCAACGATCTCGATTAATGATCTCCACGTTTATGGCGATCTAGAAACATCAGCAGCGAGCAACCCCTCTTTCCCGGTCTTTCGCAACCCCGCCGCGTCGTTTTATTATTTCGACGTGAAGCATCACGCGTCGTGCAACGCAACACCGGTCGCCGCCGTCCGGTGCGCAGCAAGTCGAGATTTAAAACCGGTAGCACCGTACGCGCGCGCCGTACCGGCTGTGTATTTTTAGAACGACCACCGCGATCGCGTGGGCGGATGCTGGTCATCGGTCCTGTGCTACTTTGTTTCACGCACGCAAACCGGACAAGATCTCGCGACGATCCTGTTGAATAATCGGCACACACTGCAGCTCTCCGTAATACAGTTTCAGTGACGTAAGAAAAAAAAACCAAAGAATTACTTCGCAAAGAAAGGCAAATCGCACGCGTATGAAAGCCTCGCGACGTTAAGTCTGCTTCGCTAAAGTCTGCTTTGGAACGAGCTTATCCCGCGATAATAGATTACAACGCGCGGGTGTATAAATTACGTCGTGTTCGCAACAAGGCGAAATACACATACTATATCTTCATTTGTCGGCTTCTGCGGAATTCTAACGCTAACAGAGGCTCCTTATTCCGTGGATATATGCATGCACGTCTATGTAGTAACAAGCACGCCTCATCCACTATGATGATTTAAAGCTTCTGGTTTAATATCCAGAGATACGCTGATGGACGTAAAACCATTATAATATGCCTGATTCTAATCCTAATTCTATAGCTTTCCAAAATGTCCGGACACGCAGACATTTCGATTAGTGTAAAACGAAATTGATTCCACACGTTTCGGGAGACGCGCGTTTGCATAATTACGCTTAATTCTTTTTCAAATCGAATCTATACACGAGATAATAATCGAGGAATGACTGACACATCTGATCACCTGATCCGTATCAGCGCGGTTTAGTACGAGATTAGTACGCGCTCTCTGAGGAAGAAGAAACGTCCAAAGTTTAAGGTCTCCCGCGATTAACGAAGCGCCTTAATTATCGGGGGCAATTATCGCGGCGGGAAGGAGCGTTATCGCTCGTCGCTCGACGACACGCGTCTACCGCGAACATGTTCGAACGGGTTTCATGTCTCTCGTAGTATTACGGGCAACATTGTTGCCGTCGTTTACGAGGTTAACGGCAAGAGCATGCGTTATTAAACGATCTCTGTAATGGGTGACCGTCAAGAGCGGAGCTCCGTTTATCGCGGTTACGTACGGGAGGAAAAAAAATGCGCTCTCATTTTTTTTCTCTTTCTAACATACTATTTTACGTATTTCTTCTTATCGTCGCAACAAGTGAATTCACGCTCTGTAAATAAGGCGTAAAAATTATCTGTATTTCCTCCCCCCCCCCTCCCC